TCTATTTAATTCTAAAGTAATAGTAATGATTTTGATATGAATATTATTGATTATAGTTTGGTAGTTTTAGAAACATATGTCTATAATAAATATTTAATAAATAAATAAATTTTATAATTTAAAATAATCATATTAATTAATATATTTTATAAATGGCAATTTGCTTTATATAAGTTCAAAGGAGGATCAAGTAGAAATTTAGTAGAGAAAATAAATTACATCTACCATTAGCTTGAAGGTACTTAAAAATATATTGTTTTATTCTTACATATACATTAATAGATAGTTAGCTAAATAAATTTCATAGTAGATTATAATTTTAAAAAATAAAAAAGTTAATGATATATAATATTTATTCAGATTTAAAACATATAAATACATAACTTAAAATAATAAAAAATAAATATAATACTTATTTAAAATATATAAATAATTTTATTATATTAAAAATATATAAAAAAATATTCTGCAGCGTAGCGCGGGTAAATACCTAGTGCAAAATAATAAATGTAAGTTTGTATACATTCATGTAATATATTTATGAGTCAACATAGCCCCTCCATTATGAATGCAAAAACAAAACTATCTCAGTTTTTACGTGTTTTAAATATAAATATCTATGTGTTAACACTTGAAACATTTATAAATGCTAAATCAAGTGTTTACGTGTAAATATATGAATATTTATTAATGCAAAAATATTTATAAATATATAATCGGTGTGATTATATTCAAGTGTTCACGTGTATTATTTAGTGTGTATTTTTCCCAAATGAATCCAGAGTAATTTAAGCAACTTCTTTTTATCAATTGTAAACTAAAATGACAAACAAATAGAAAAAAATACATGTTTTAGAAGACTGAATAGTGTTTTAAATTTTTGAAGGAAGAAAACTGATGGTTCTTGCTCTGATAGAACTGAGAAGGTGTACTTGGAAGAAAACTCCATATTTTACATCAGAATGAATATGATAATGTAAACTGGGGAGACGTACTTGGAAGAATTCTATGTATTTTATATTAGATATTCTCTTTGTTTCAAAAGTATGATGTTTTGGTATACACACAAATTAAGGAGGTGTTATTGGTTTTTGTATTTTAATGGATTTGAGAATCCAAACCAAATTCAGTGTTATTGATTCTTGTATTTTAAAATTTATATTGAAATACAGTGTTATTGGTTCTATGATTTTAAAATCTATAATGAAATACAGTGTTATTGGTTCTATCATTTTAGAATCTAAATATTATAAGGATTTGAGTTTTAATTGAATTTGAATGGATTTGGAAAGATTTTTATGACTAAAATACAAAGACCCAAATACAAGGTCTAACCTTGGTATTTGAGTGGATTTGATTTTTTTTCCATTTAACTGATTTTGAAATCAATAAATTTATCAAATCCAAAGAAGATTTATAAATCCACCAAAATACAAGAACCAATAACCCCTACTAAAAAACAGTTATGTTTTAGTTATCTTAATATTAACTGAGAAATAAGTTGGGCTATAGCTTAGAGTTATGATGGTTGATTACTTTTTGCTCCGTATATAAAAAGACTTTATTTACCTTTAATAAAATTAACAAATTAATATAATCTAATTTTTAATTGATTTTTATTTTTTTTTAAATCTTGATTTCCAAATTAGAGTTAATATCACAAAATATTATGTTTAATAAAAAAGGTAACTAGCAAAAATCACAAAAAAATAATCCTAATTATTTTCTTAAACTATTTTTAATTTAATTGTTTAACCTACTAATATTTTTGACTAATCTAATTGATTTATGCGATTACAAATAAAATTCTAAATTCTTTAAGCCATTTTAAAACTCTATATATATTAATTAATGTTAAGTTGATATGAAACAATGATCCTTTGGTTTTGGTTATTTTGGATTGCTATATTTTTTTTATGTAAACATTAAATTTCATTAATATTAATCTGCCAATTTATACCAAAAGAAGAGAATTATTTATCTTATTTGATAAATGTAATAAAATAACAAAGCATACATATAAGTTTTTATTGGATAATATACAAATGTTATTAGAAGATAAGATATAAATAATATATTTTGCTTTGTCACAAAAAACAATATATTCATAAAACATTTCAAACAGTAATTTTGGTTTAATAATTATAAAATCTAATTTTTTATCTATAAATAAACTAATGTTATTACTTTTTTAAAAAATTATTCGAATCCCGCACAAAGTGCGAGAAAATACCTAGTTAATACATAATTTTTTTACAATCATTACTCTTTAATAACAATTAACCAATAGAAATTTAAGAATTTAAATAATTTTAGTTACTTTTCTTGAAATCTACAAAAAAACATATTTAATACTCTAAAACATCAATTTTATGGAACAAAGAAAAACTCTAAAACATCAAATATTTACAAATGGAGAGAGTATGAGTTTAACACCCCTTTAAAAGCATTTAATAAATTAAAATAAAAAAATTATGGGGGTATTTTTGAGATCTTTGAATGATTGTTGAACTATTTTCACTACTAAAACCAACAATAATATTGAATCTACTTTCTATAATTTTTGACAAAAATCTACTTTATGTCAGTAAATTTTACTTTCTATTGATGACATATTCACATTATTAAATGTAACACATAAGACATAGTACTCACTTTAACCTTTTTATTTTCTATACTCGTAAACAAAGTTTATAAGATAGACCAGAGAAATTCATTTGCATTGTGGAAACCCTTTAGTCTAGTGGTCGACTAAAGGTTCATTAATGCTTCTATATCAAGAGGTATGAATTTCGATTTCCAGAAAATACAATTTATGCACGTTAATGGAGACAATCAGATAAGGAAATGATGGACTATTAGAGTTATTCACGGTGGACCCGCATATCTATGATGGATATTTGTGGAATAGTTAATTTGTCTATTAAAAAATATTATCCTTGTAGTTGTTTCCATAATTTTTATTCAGACGACAAAAAAAAATTATTTGCATTTTGAGAGGTAGAAAAAGTGTATTTTTAAAAACCAACATTAGCATAACGAAATCACTAAACTAATGATTTGGTTTCTTATCTTAATATCTAAATTATTAAAAGAGAATCATTCTTAATAAATGTTCAAAAGCTACAATGATATTTATAATATATGCAATTACATTTACTAGACAATTTCATTAATGTTCAAATGCAGGTTTGCGGGTTTGATAAAAAAATGCAATTTTACAGATTTGATAAAAACACGTAATTTTAGAAATTTGGCCATAAAATACAGTTTTATGGTGTTGAGAAAAACATAATTATTGGTTTTGTTAAAAATTGTGCATTTACAATTTTGGAAGAAAAATACGATTTGATGAAAAATGCTATTTTTACAGTTTCTACGGAAATTCCTGATTTTGGTACAACAACGTGATTTTAGTAATTTTTAGTTTTGTTAAAAAATGTGGGTTCACAGTTTGGCAGGAAAATACTATTTAATGGAAAATGCTATTTTTACAGTTTCTATGGGAATTCTCTATTTTGGTACAACAACGTGATTTTAGTGTTTTGTAGAAAAATACAGGTTTTCTTTTCGATAGAAAACTATGATTTTATGGTTTTGACAAAGAAAAAACTTGATTTTGTAGTTTAAATTAAAAGGTGTTTTGGTCTTTTAATTTTTGAGATTCAAATGTTGCATCCAAACTCTTTTTTTTAGCATCTTAAATATTCAAATTTTGAGATATTTTAGATTTTGTATCCAGATATTTAAAATAACAATATTTAAGCATTTACATCCAAATAAGTATCTAGATGCAAAATCAAATAAAGCCTGAGTAAATATTAAAAACTTAATTACAAACAAATAAAATTTCTCTTGCATTATAAAACATAATATTTTGAAATATTTGTTATAAAATTTAACAGAAAATCTGCTAATCAAAATTTGTTTTTTTATAAAATTAAACCTAAATAATTAAAAAACATAAAACCATAATGTAAAAATAGTTTATAGAATCTAATAAAAAATTCTATTTGGGCCCAATTTTGGATTTAATAATATAAGCTGATTTTTTTTTTAATAAAAGTTTAATATAAACCAATTTTTGGTGTGGCCTAAAATATTTTATGAAAAAAAAACTCGCATAAGTGTGGGCGTCAAAAATCTAGTCTATTATATTAAAAGAGAACCTCAATTAAAAGAATAACTTTTACTTATTATGTTATCTACCTAATATGTCATTAGACTTTCATTAGATATTAAATATATAAAAGTTTAGTAAATCTATTCTTCTCATTAAATCATTAAAAACTTAATTTTTTGTTACTTACTTTTCTCATTAGGGGCCCAATATTTTGTTTTCCTTCTAAAAAAATGGCTTAATTTTTATTAAAAATTTAGAACTATCTTATTTTTTGTTTTTAATTCGAAATTTATCAAAACAATATATAGAAAATGCAAAAAAAAAATTAAAAAAATATTTTTAGGAACATAAATTTGCTCATTGCTTCATATATTTTGCCTCTGTATTTTTCTACAACAAATATGGCGCTTATAGTTGTAGCATTGATTTATTGAGCCGTACAGTAATGACTTTGAATGTGATAGCTTGGAGAATGTTTCCTTATTTGTTTGTGTGCCTGTATAAGTAATTGTGATAACTTGGAGAATGTTTCCTTATTGGCTCGCCAAGTCGGACAGGGAATAGTATTTTCGTATTAATTGACGTACGTGTTGAAACTTTTCAGGACTCTGAGGACGATTGCTCTCAATCTGTGCTCGATGCCTTGAATGAGGTATATGTGTACTAACCCTCAGAATCCCTCAAAAGTTCATAGATTATGATTCATTTGGTGGAGAAAATCTTATATCTCTACTGATCACAGATTGCTTTTAACCCAAAATTCCTCTCATCTCGAGTTGAGAAAGAGAGGCGGGCCATACTTTCAGAAAATTCAGACGCCGGATGGCCGGCAATGGAGCCGGGGCGGAGGCGGGAGCTCGTCCTGAATTTAGTTGGTATAATATGAATTCAATCTTTATTACTCTTGAATTTGAATCTAGAAGTATAACAACGTAAAAACAGAATTCTTTTGCGTTCAAATATAAAAATCAAACAAAAGCACGTAGCAAACAAGAAAGTCTCAAACCTGAAACGATATGAAAATACCCTAAAGAAGCACAAGGAAAAGAGACATTATTAAAACCCGTTCGCCTCAATATTTTTCACAATTTTCTTGGATGCGGCCAACTCTCTCTCCCATTGACGGGTCTTGAATCCCGCAGTAACGGTAGCGCCTCTGATTATGCGTCGTTCGCCTGTGGTCTCGATGATGATTCCGTTTAATGCGAGTGCAGTGATGAGACGGTTGATTCGGCCGACGTGCATGAGATAGGTAGTCATGGTTGCTCGTTTGGCCGTATTTCTCCTTGTTTTCTCAGCTGGAAAAAAGAGGTTTTCAACAAATCAGTGGAATCTCACGAACAGCACAATATGCTCAGAAAAGATCGATATGTATTCACACTTATTTCGAAATTATGTTCAGGATTTGAGGTACGATTCTAGATCTGATAGACCCAAAGATTCAGCAGGAAAACCAAGTCTAGACAAACAGCAACATGAAGATTCTAACGAAACCTGAGGAAACGTTACACAGAAATCTGGAAGGTTATAGTAACATGATTATTGGAACGAAATCTGAATAAACGGCACAAGAGAGACTTGAAAGAAGCGACCAGAAATAGAAACAACAGTATAATTTACAGAGGCGAAATCTGAAAGCGGAAGGTGATTTCGATCTTACCGTTTTCATCGATCTGGGGAGGAAACAATGCACCCGCACGTGCCTAGTCAAGAACAGGACAGTCAATTTTCACTTCTGTACATGTTGTGTGAATGCTACAAGTTTGTTTATGACACGAGATATTCATCAGCTGGAAAAGAGTTTAAATCGAAGCTAACCACAATTTGCTCAGCCGCTTCCCATATCTGCTCGACTTTTGCCTCCGATAAACCGGTGATTCCAGTGAGGTTCTGTGTCAAATAAATTTAAACCACAATTAACCACAATCAGATATACAATAGTGTAAACCCAACGACTGATGCTACTTAAGCAAAGCCGGTATGTACCTCCTTGGTATGCATCATCAGGCCATTGCAGGAATTGATCCCAGCGAGTTGGAGTTTTCTTACATCACCACCGTTTATTATACCTTGGGCCGTCACTAGCAAGGAATCAAAGTTACGAGATGCCATATATGGAATTAATTTCACCAACAGTGTCGATTCAAACAGCACCAGATGAACCAACCATTCTCAAAATCACGATGAATAAACTATGCACAAAGGTAACAACACCGAGCAACAATCCAAAAGTAACATGAAAATCAAGCGGATCTGAGCGAAAACTTAGAAGCAATGTGGACAAGTATAACTTCAAAATCCTGAATCTAAGAGAGGTTCGAGATTATTTTGCGCAAAGATCGGAGCGGAGATCTATAGCCACCACTAGAGGCACAGTTCGAGTAGGACAGAGCATAAATTTTAAAATAGATAAACAGCAGCAAGCAACAATTCAACAGAAGCATGAAGATAACCGGAAATTCACATAGATCTGAGCCAAAAAAATTCAAAGGGAGGTGGACTTGAGGTTCGAGATGAGTTTGCCCAGGGATCGAAGCGAAAGTCTATGCTAAATAAACCACTAGAGGCACAATTCGAGTATGACATGTCTCGTTAAACAAACTGTGCACAAATTTTAGAAAGAGATAGCAAAAGCGAGCAACAATTTAACAGAAACATGAAGATAGCAACGTCGAGCAACAATTCAACAGAGCATTAAGATTTGAGCTCAAATTTGGAAGAAAAAAATCATATAATCGGTTAGATTTTCTGGATTCAGAGTTTGAGCTTACGGTTTTGTATCGCTGCGGTGAACTCGCCGTCTTCATCCATTTTCTTCTCGTTCGACTATCTCGCTTCCTCAGAGCTATGATCCGATCGTCGAGCTTTACCCCTTCTCGTTAGCTTCAAACGAGAGAGAGAGAGAGGATTTGAAACTCGAAAATGAAAATTAGAGAGAGGATCTGCTCCTGTGGGGAATGTGTTATAGGCGGGAATCGGAATTGTTGGTGTCTCCAAATTGGGTTGGGTCCACGAAACTATAAAAGTTTTGACGTCCGTAACTGAATTCTGGCACAGTTCGATGAAGTTGGACGGCTACGATCAAGCCACGTCAAAGTCACCACCATTCTTATTCTCATCGACGGTAAGAGAGAAATGTCTGTTGATGATTATTGTTACACACATGGGCAATTCCGTAATTTTCATTATAACATTTTTTTGTTGCTTTTTTTCACATACACTTACGTAGTTGTATATAACATAGGAATAATGATCTTATATATTTGTAGTTAAAAATTATATATATATATATATATATATCATCTATCACGTAATAACATTAAACTAATTTTTAACTTTTTAAATTTGGTTTTAAATATAAATAAACCGTATATAGGGAAAACTATACACACTAAAAGATATAAAAGCATACATATATTAATATAAACATATACAGTTTACATAAAAGTCTTCTAGAATACCGTTTGACTCCAAAGATAGTAAGTTATTCTCAAGTTTTTTTTTTTAAGATTGTATATAGCTAAGATTATTCTGGTTACATAATTCCTCATTCCTTAAATCTTTTTTTTTTAAGTTAACTAACATGAATACGTACGGGAAAAAACCATAGTATATGTATCAAATATTCAAATCTTTTGAATAATCTGGCTCTTCTTTTTTCTAGATCTTAGATTGTTCTGGTTTCCTACTGGCATGTCCAAATACTCCAAAACCAAAGTTGTAGAAAAGAAAAAAACATAAAAAAAATTTGATTATATATATATATATATATATATATCTTTGCAAATAAATCGCCAACTGGCTCTATCATCCATGTAATGCTCTGGTTTTTCTGTAATGAAAAGTTGTTCGTTAAAAAAATTACGAATTGGATCCTCACACATTTTTTTCTATAATGAGAAGTTACAAACCCTTTAACAAAAAAATAAATAACAATAATGAGAAGTTACTAATGTTGATCTATTTGAGTTTGTTTGGATCTTCTTTGAGGAGTTTTTAAAATTCACTAATGTTGGATCAAAATCACACTACAGTCAATGCCGGTCCGACAATTTTTCATGCCCTACATAAATCTGAAATTTTTTTTCTCACATATTATATTGATTAATATAAAAAAAATAATAGTAAAAAGTTATAGTTAAAATTTTATATAAAAAATCAATTTCAAACATACAATTTAAATATATAAACTGTTTATAATAAAAAAAACTTTTTTTAAAAAAAAATTGTCATTAAAAATAATCTTTTTTATATTTTTGCGTATAAATTTATTTGTTAAGCTCACATAATCTAGTTTTTCAATCATAATTTTCTTAACTGATAACAAAACCAGTCCATTTAATCTTAAAACATAAATTTATTAACAAAAACTTTAAATTTTATTTATATATAAACATTAATAAATAATTTTAATATAGAAAATATTTAAAAAAATGTCTCCAAAAAAAATTACTGCTCTAATCATTCGCTTCCCTTGCTTATATCATGGGCCGGCCCTGACTACAGCACATCTTGATGCTTAAATATATGGTCTTATGTTTGTTTTTAGTTTTTGTTGTATTAAGTGTTTAAAGTTTTTGAAACAAATATATATAATTTATTAATAAAAAATACTATTTCTTATGAAAATTATAAGTAGTATCAAAAGATATCTGTAAAAATATAATCATGTAAAATTAAATTTGTAATTTGTTTGCCTCAGTGGGCTCAGTTTGGGCTTCCGTAGAGAATAGAGTCTATCTCTAAGTTCAATTAGGCCTTTTATGATATTGTATTTTCCTTGTGAGAAAGGTATCAAACGAATGAAGTAAAATATTTATTTCCCTAAAATCTCTTCTACTTTCTCTCTTCTCTTTTCTTCTCCTCCCTTCCGCTTCTCACCTCCATCCATTTGTACCATCTCTGATAAGCTCCAAAGCTTATCAAACCTCTGCTGTCGTCGGTCGACGCACGTCATCGCCGGTAAATTTTGCACCGAGGGATTTACTAGATTTATCACGACCTGTTCCTCGATTTTCCGACTTTGGATTTTTCGTGATGATTTTAACTCTTTAATTGAATCATTTGCTCTGTTCAAATTATAGGTTACGATTCTCCTTTCTAGGTTTATGTAAATGTTAGCATATTAGCAGATTTGTTATTGGTGTTTGCTCAATTCCAGATTTTTTTACAAGTTCCTTCGAAATTGTTTATTGTAGTGTTGGTTTTTTTAAGATTCTTGGATTATTGCATATGAGCTTCTTCCTTATTATCTTTAGTTGCATACCAATTTGCAAAGCATCTAGTTTATTCTCAGTTTTGAATTAAGAGTCGAAACAGAGAGTAGCAGAATTTGGTTTTTCACATATGTGTCTCTTATATATCAGCCTGAGACACTAAACACTCTGTATGATGCTTCAGAAACTACTATAATTAGTGATTATAAGTGATTCTCAGGTTTGTGTTCTATGTTAAGCTGACTTCACAAAACACATAAGCTCATATAGTCTCCCTTTCATGCTTTTTTGCAATTCATCTCAGCCGATGCGATGGCCTCCTCCATTTTCTCCGGCGTTAAGTTCTCTCCGATCATAGCTCCTTTAAGCTCTCGAGATAGCCGCCGCTCTGGAATTATAAGAGATAGCCGGAATAATAAAGTTAGCTGGAATCGTGTTGGCGTCGAAGCTCAGTCTTCAATAACTTATAACGGTGGTCTTTGGTACGTCTTCTAAATGTTAAGTTTCGTATTATATCTATACAGAGAATTAGATTTTCAGATGGAGATGTTTATGAGAAAACTAACATTCTTTGCTGTTGTTTCTGAATTCGTGGAAACTGAAATTAGTTCTTGGGTTGAAATTTAGCCACTGATTCTTAATTTTCCCCCTCTCGGCTGTTGAAATTAGTTATAGTAATTTGGAGCGGTGTGATTCTCTAAAAGGTTATTACTTTTTGGTTGAAAATTCAGTGTTCTTCAAAGGGCGCCACAAACTATCAAGAGCGGACGTTGGAAGAGGAGGAACGCTGTTTTGGGACAGCGAGTTACTGAGACATCACTTTCTCAGGGACGAAGTTTCTGTCGCACCTGTAAAAAGAATCAACCAGGGATCAAAAGATCGTTACATAGGGCCTTTGTGGACAGAACTTCATTTAATTTGTCAAGCTCTCGTTTAACGTCTTCTCTGGTTCGTAAACTATATACATCATTTTCCCTTCTATGTTCTAGTCTTTGCGTCTTCTTTTTTTTTGTACTAGTGTATTTTAACTGACTTTGAACATGTGCCCAATTTTTCAGAACAAGCATTCTCATGTTGTAAATGCAACAATTGGACCAGATGAGCCACATGCTGCTGGTACAGCCTGGCCAGATGGCATTGTTGCGGAGAGACAAGATGTGGACTTACTGCCCCCTGAGATAGATCGGGCAGAGCTTGAAGCGTTTCTTGGTTGTGAGCTTCCTTCTCATCCCAAGTTGCACCGGGGACAGTTGAAAAATGGGCTTCGGTATCTTATTTTGCCCAACAAAGTTCCACCAAACAGGTAAATTAGGTAGAATGCTTGAAGTTGGTCTACTCGTGATACTCTAAATGGTTGCTTCAGGCATCAGAATGGTTTCAGTTGCATACTATCATTTATTTTTCTACAAAAAACAACAAAGAAAACAGTCAAATGGAGTTTATGTGTACCTCCTTCCCATTATAGCTCTTAAGGATATGATGGGATCCTCTCAGGTTTTTCCTCCTATTTCTTACGATTGTGGTGAAATTTTTTCGAATGCTAGATTTGAGGCACACATGGAAGTTCATGTAGGATCGATTGATGAGGAAGATGATGAGCAAGGGATTGCTCATATGATAGAACATGTTGCATTCCTCGGGAGCAAGAAACGTGAGAAACTTCTTGGTACAGGTGCTCGCTCTAATGCCTACACCGATTTCCACCACACTGTATTTCATATCCATTCTCCAACGCAGACAAAGGTTTGCTATCTTGTACACATTTTCCTACTTATTGATGTAGCATCTAATAGTTAGGTCAATTTCACAGGATTTTTTTTTGCCTCTGTGTTTTATATAACAAATATGGCGCTTATAGTTGTAGCATTGATTTCTTGGGCTTACAGTAATGACTTTGATTTTACCAAATTGTTACATCATGATTTAAATCTTTTATGTATTTGAAGCCCTATTACGGAATATTATTTCTTTATAAGCAAACATAAGGTGTTTGGTGTTGAGCTTTATTTGTTTATGGACCTTGAAGTCAGTTTCTTTGTTTGTGTCGCCTGTATATGTAATTGTGATAACTTGGAGGATGTGTCCTTAGTGGCTCGCTAATCATGTTGCTAGCGTCGGACAGAGAATACTATTTTCGTATTAAATGACGCGTTGAAACTTTTCAGGACTCTGAGGACGATTGCTTTCAATCTGTGCTCGATGCCTTGAATGAGGTATATGCCCTGACTTTTATGTGCACCAAACCTCAGAATCCCTCTAGAGTTCATAGATTATGATTTATTTGGTGGAGAAAATCTTATTTCTCTACTGATTACAGATTGCTTTTAACCCAAAATTCCTATCATCTCGAGTTGAGAAAGAGAGGCGGGCCATACTTTCAGAACTTCAGATGATGAATACAATTGAGTATCGTGTTGACTGCCAGGTATTCTTGAAGCCTCGTTTTCTATATGTCAGCATAACAGTTCTTTCTCTTGCCCAGCTTTTGGTGAATAATCAGTGACACATGCTGTTTTATATCTTGATTGACACTAGTTGTTGCAACATCTACATTCTGAGAACAAGCTGGGTAGAAGGTTCCCTATTGGATTGGAAGAGCAGATTAAGAAGTGGGATGTTGACAAAATCAGGAAATTTCATGAGCGATGGTACTTCCCAGCGAATGCCACGCTATATATTGTGGGAGACATTGAAAACATACCTCGGATAGTCCACCATATTGAAGTAGGATATTATCTTACATTTCTTGT